TATTATTATTATTATTATTATTATTATTATTATTATTATTATTATTATTATTATTATTATTCAGAGAAAGTGCTGGGGAATGTTTAAAAGCCATGCAAAGAAGAAAGTGGAAAAAAAACAGCAGCAATTGAATGTAATTTATCTAATAAATTGTCTTTTGGTAAAACTGGTGCATGTATGTATCTTCGTCTGCATCTATGTGTTTTATCCGAGGAGGAAGGAATATCACTGGTACGTATATTTGCGGCCTTGAGTTATTTATAAAAATAATCAAGCCAGGTGAAAAACGAACACACATACAGTATGTATGTGTGCATATATGCTTGTATCCGTGTATTTGTATATAGCTTTTGCAAAATTCTGCATGCTTTTGAGTACATCTTGCCTAACCTAACCGGTTTTGTACCCCACTTTGGCGTATCACAAAACAGTTGTTGTTGTTGTTGTTTTTTAAAAAAGCTGCCGTGCAAAATTCATTTTAAAAATGCAAATAATCCTGCTCCCATTGCACATTTGAGAAACCAAAGCACATCAAAAGATGGACATGCGACAATGAGATAAGGATAAAACCACACCCTTTGCACATTTTAAAAAACGGCTGACGGATGCAGAAACGGAACAGACAAGTGAGCAAAAAGTGGCAGAACTCAGATCAAGCCATTCACTGGGGAGAAAAAAAGCATTGCCCCAATTTTTATCTAGAATGAAGTGATGGGCGGAAGGATCAAGAACTCGCTGAAGCCCGGCCAGCTAGTTTTAACAAAACCGTCAAGTCAGCAAAATACGAACTGAAAAAGCTGCCCATCGGCAATTCATAAAGTCTTACTCAGGGATCTTCTTCTGCCTTTAGAGTGCTCCATTTATGAAAAAAACCTTACGGGCCACCCAAACAACCAGTTCTGTAAGGCTGACTCTGCTAACAACCATCTCTGAACTGGCTTCCACCCAAACTAAACTCAGCATGGTGGTTACAGCCTGGTCTTCAACCCCGGAGACAAGGATTAACAGATTAACAGAGTGGGAAGGGACCCTGTAGGTCATCTAGTCCAACCCCCTGTTCAAGTAGGAGACCCTACACCATTTCTGACAGAGGGCAGTCCAGTCTCTTCTTGAAAGCCTCCAGGGATGAAGCTCCCACAACTTCCGAAGGCAACTTCTGTTCTATGGGTTGATTGTTCTCAACTGTCAGAAAATGTCTCCTTATTTTCAGGTTGAATCTCTCCTTGTTCAGTTTCCATCCATTGTTCCTTGTCTGGCCTTCAAGTGATTTAGAAAATAGCTTGACCCCCTTTTCCTCTTTGTGGCAGCTCCTCAAATATTGGAAGACTTGCTATCCTGCCTCCCCTGGTCCTTCTCTTCACTGGACTAGCCAGGCCCAGTTCCTGCAACTGTTCGTCGTATGTTTTAGCCTCCAGTCCCCTAATCACCCTGGTTGCTCTTCTCTGCACTTTTTCTAGAGTCTCTTCCAGGAGATATGGATGAGCCAAGGTGTTTCCTCTCAACAAACAACCAAGGAACCTCAGGTGTGAAGCTAAGTCTCTGCAGATTGATGTAGACCAGAAATAACCTGAGACCCAACACCAAGGATTCAACATTGCTGCATCCACACCACTTTCATCTCCTTTGCATCTTGCACCTTGGCAGAAGATTCTAGGTACGGTCAATGCCCAAGCATAGACCGACTCCCTTTCAAAAATCCACTGACACATCCATGCACTTTCAAGGATCTCTCCAAGGTCCAGAAATTAGATGGTGCCCAGCACCCAACAGCTGGAGAAGAACCCCAGGAGAAAAACCTCTCTTTCCAACCAATCCCCTCTGTGGGCCTTCCCAGAAGACACCATCTTCTTAAGTCTTGCAACCACCCAGAGGTTTTGCAACCTTCAGGGGTGAGGCCCAAGAACCAGGGTGTGGGGGAACATTTGCGTCATACAACTGCATTTTGCATAAACCACCAGCTAAGCCTCTGGGTCTGCCCTAGCATTTTACTGTAGACAGACAGAATTCCAGTTGTACTGTTCAAATAATAATAATAATAATAATTCAGCTCTGCTTTGGGAGGGATATTAAACCAACCTTTTGCCTTGGAGAAACGAAGCAATAACTGGAATTAAAAAAAGAAAGCCACCCAATGAGTTGGAACAAATAAAAAGGTTTTTTTTTTTCAGTGCTTAACCCAGTCTTCCTTTAAGCACGGTGACTGCAAGTTTTGGGGTGGTTGTTTAGAAGCGCTCAACCAGTTCTGTTCCATTTGCCCCGAATAACCATAACACCACCACCCCCACAAAAAAATCTCCCATACAAAGCATTGGGCCAGCTGTTTGCAAAATTACCACCTCTGGAAATCAGAACGCAATTTGTTGGCACTTACCCAGAAGGCATCTTTAAACGGCAGGTGCGTCATCCTTGGATCTGTAGGGCGAAGCTGTGTGAAAGAAGCACCCGGCTGCTCTGTGTGTGTGTGTTGTGTGTGCGTGCACACGCTCCTCTGGAGAGAAACCTCCTTTGGGACTCTGCCGGTCAAGGGATGGTTTAAATGAAGCACTTGCTACGGAAAGTGAAAAAGCACGCCCCAAAGTTCAAAGCTCTTCCTTCCTCTTGCCCCACCTCTCCGGGGCTGATGTCAAACTCCTTTCGCTTTGGGCCGAGAAGTGTGCCTCTCACCAAGTGTGTGGAAAGCACAGACGTTGTCGCCATCCGCTGGGTGGAAACAAGACACTTCCTTCCAACCAGTTAACGCTCCAGAAGGCCAAAGGGAGGCGACTGGGATGGCAGGTGGGAAAGACTCCTTAAGGGTTGGATGTGCCTTGCGGACCGCAGAAAGCAGCACGACGGGTGTGTAAGGGGTGTGTGTGTGTGTGTGTGTGTGCTGGAAACCTTTTGCATATTTTTTTTTTTTTTGCATTTGCATCTACGGGAAAGAGGCGCAGAAGGGGAGTGTGACCTCAGCTCAGCGTTGGTGCAAGAGCAAAACGTTTCACACCTCCGTCGAGCGAAGGAAATGCACCGAGCGTGCAGCCTTCAGGCTGGTGTGTTGCTCAAGCTGCGTCTGTGCTACACAATTGGTATCGCTTTGCAACAAGGGTGAAGAGGCGCACGGCTCCCTTGAATTTTGGCTCACGCGTTGGTCTAAAAAGCGCTTATCCTCTGCTGGGTCTCTCAAAGAGGCAGAAAAGGTGGTTTGGGTAGGAGAACGCAGTATGAAAGTAAAATAGTTGCATTTCCTCTGTGGCAGGAAGGGGCACTTCCAAAGTTAGTTGCTAGCAGATAAGTAAAGAGATTCATATCTTCATAATGACTCGGGGGGTGGGGGGGTCCTTACTGTGCCAGGAAATTGAGTGCCCCCCCTGTGGTCTCCATTCGCGCTGCCCCCGGGGTCGATATTTTCATGCCGTAGATTCAAACCCCAAAATACGGATTGTTTGGAGCGCCGAGAGTCTTCTGGACAAGGTTTCTAGCAGGCCCTTGACTTGCGACCGCTTCAATTTACGACAGCATACTTAGGGTTGCCAAGAGCCTGAATTCGGACGATACGACTGTGGGGATGCTATGGCCGTTGTAAGTGCAAGGACCAACGGTTGCAAGTCCCTTTTCCCAGGGCTGTTCGGACTTTAAATGCTAAGTGGAGTGATTGCTGAGCCGAGGAAACGGTGCAGCGAGATAATAAGGGATGGAGACCATTTTTTAAGAAAAATGCAGCGTTGAGGACAAAATAAGGCCGGCATCAAGGGGGAAAAGATCCCAAAATTGCCGGGGACAGGGTAGGCTATTGGAGATGTGGCCTGCCCATCACATCCTTAAGGTCACTCGCTTACATAGCAAAGATGGACGGTGTATAAATGTTGACTAATAAATATATTTTATGGCTTTTGATCCTAGCCAAAGATGCTAAAGACCTTCACAGAACGAGGAAAAGAGTTAAAAGAGTCCAGGTTCTCTTCCCGAAGCTGGTAAAAGCCATCAAGGCTGGATTTGCATCGTCGGACAAGCGCAGGTAGTCCTCGGCTTACGGCCACAAGTGAGCCTGAAAATTTCCGTTGAGACAGTTGTTGAGTTTTGCCCCCACCCCGCCCCGTTTTACGACCTTTCCTGCCACCATTGTTAAGCGAATCATTGCAGCGGTTAGGTTGGCAGCTCGGTTGTTAAGCAAATCCGGTTCCCCCACCGACTCGGGCTGAAGGTCGTCAGGTCGCCCGAGGGGATCGGCGGGGCATCGCAACCCGTCGTCAATGCGAGTCGCTAAGTGTGGGGAAAAAAAGGGTCGCAAGCCACCTTTTTCAGGGACGTTGTTGTAACCTCGACCTAAATGGACTGTTGTCGTAAGTCGAGAACTACCTGTAAAACATTTCAAATGTAAAACTCTTTTTTTTAAAAAAAGGCAGAAGGGGGAAACTTCCAATTGCACCTGCCAGGAAAGAAAGAAAGAAAAGGGAAGGGAAGGAAAAGGCGGAGCTTTTTTAGAGGGAGAAAGCGACGTTTGGCCAGCCGGACCTTTGGAACTCACTCGGCTGCTCGGGGGATTCCAGGCAAAATCAATGGCTCTATTCAGCCATGATCCAACAAGGGGGGGGGGGGGGGCTTTTCTGCCAGCCTCCCCCCACCCCCCACCCCCGCGAATGAGGAACTACAGCTGTATGCAAATGAAAGCTGGAAGGGGTTCGTTCAAGCCAACCACCCCATGAAAAGCGTTTCCTTTAGTAAGAATTTGCTTGCCAATTACTGGTACCTTTCAACTATGAAAAAGTTTTTTTAAAAAAAACTGCAGGAAGGGAAGGAGGAGAGAGAAAGTGGGGAGGGGAGCAGGGGAGGGGAGGGGAAGGAAGGAAAGAAAGGGAGGGAGGGAGGGAGGGAAGAAAGGGAAGAAGAGCAGGAAGAAAGGAAAGAAAAGGAAGGAAGGAAGGAAAGGGAAGGAAGGAAGGAAGGGAAGGAAGGAAGG